GAGAGTACTAGGACTCTTGATTATATCAAATTTTGTCTACTGAAAAGATATTGCAAGAGTCCTGATCATACTAGGACTCTTCCAATTTTGGCTCAATTCTTTTCTAACGATAGAACTTTCATAAATTTTGACTTTAATTGCTTATTTGAGCCTTGTATGCCCATATTCTAGAATTCTGGGCCCACAGTGCTCAAGGGGGCACTGTTGAAAACATTTTTTTAAACCCAAATCATATTTAATAAATTAGAACTCAAATAAGTGGTTCGGCTAGTTTGCTAGCCAAATCATTAAAATATAAAAAAGTATCCCGTATGGGAGTCCCCTCTCTTTAAGTGGAGAGTTCCCTCTCTTTAAGTGGGAGGGACGGGTGTCCTTCACCTAGGAGGAGGTAGTTACATAACTACCCCACTCACTATTTAAGCTTCTTAAGGGGAAGCTAGAAGCACATATAGAGAGACGGAGAGACTCTTCGAAGAAAAATTTTTACAAGAGATTCTTAAGGAAAGCAAAGATAAGGAGAGAAGAAAAGAGAAGTGCTCAAGGGAAGGCAAGGAAGGAAAAGTCTCACTAACACAGGTAAAAAAAGGAAAGTCCTCTCTGTGAATACTTCCTATTTAYGTCTTCTGCTATGTATCCTTCTCTCTCTCTCTCTTTTACTTTTACTTTTGAGAAAGGAAATAGAGGGAGATACACCATCTATAACCAGGTGCCTCTACTTGGTTGATTATGGTCCCTCTTTCAAGACAAAGTTAGGGATTAAACCATCTAGAGTCTAATTCTCGAAGGCTGATTATGGTTCCCTTCAAATAAAAATGAAGATTAAAGGGAAATAAACCATCTACAACCAGGTGCCTTTACTTGGTTGATTATGGTCCCTCTTTCAAGACAATGTTAGGGATTAAACCATCTACAGTCTAATTCTCGAAGGCTGATTATGGTTCCCTTCAAATGAAAATGAAGAGTAGAGGGATGAAAATTGTCTACAATCAAATATTTAGTTTGATTGACTATGGTTCCCTTTTTGTATGCAAAAATCCAAGGATCAAGGCTGTCTACAATTAGAATTTCATCTGATTGACTACGGCTTGTTGTGAAGAAAGGAGTGAGAAGGAAAGTTGCTTTGTATCAAAAGAAAAGAGAAATGTATTGCTATATAGTTTCTCAATTGTATTTTCTTTTTCTTTCTTCTCATTCTTGTACACTTGGTGTAAAAGAAAAGCAAATGAAAAGTTCTTTTTTAAGTACCCTATTGTTCTTTTCTTTTGTTCTATGCATTCATTTCTCCAAGTCAGAATCAAAAGGTATTCTCTACTTTCTTGTAGAGATGTAATTAAGGGGAACAATCCGTATGATTCCCTGTATGGGCCTTACCCAAAATATTAAAAACTCAATTACTTGATTGAGTGAGTTATGTTGCATGAGAATTTATTAAAATTTTCACACCAACAACTATGAGTATGGTTTCTTATTCAAGAGAAGTAGTTTAGTAGGACTTGCAAATTTCAATTTAACTCAGTGGGCTTGAAGAATTACATTTGCCAGAGCGCTGTATGGTATGTGAATTCATTACGTAAAGGTGATGAGCTTTTAGGAATCCAAAATGCAGGATCTTGAACATCCACATTGAGAACAAGGTAATTATTTCATCAAAAGGCAAGAAAGGTAAATGTATAATATCAAAATTCTCCATCTTTGGAATGTAAAAAGCAACTGTTGTTTGTAGTTTAAATAAATTAAGCACAAAATAGTTGTGGGTTGAAAAAGACAATGTTTACACCCTTTCTAGGCTTGTAGAGAGGGCCTTGGTAGGAGGGCTAGTGGTAGGTTTCCAAGTAGAGAATGGGGAGGTGGGGATTCCTCTGCTACAATTTGCAGACGACACTTTTTCTTTTGTGTCTCTTATTGGGAGCAAATTCTGGAATGTGAAAGCAATTTTAAGATTGTTTTAGGTGGTCATTGGTTTACATATTAATATCCAAAAGAGTGAAATAATGGCAGTTGGGAATGTCATAAACTTGGAAGTTTGGGCTGATGATTGGGGTTGCAGAGTTGGAAAACTCCTATCAAAGTACTTGGGGTATGCCATTGGGTGAAAATTGTAAATCCAATTCCAGTTGGGAGCCCATCATTGAAAAAGTGGATAGAAAGTTGGCCTCTTGGAAGTGTGTCGTCTTCCCTTCCTGTTTATCACTTGTCTTCATTCCCAATTTTGGCAAATAAGGCTGCTGTGTTAGAAAGAAAGATGAGAAACTTCCTATGGAGGGGGTGGAAGGAGGAGTCAAAATGCCATCTGGTGAGTTGGAACAAAGTCTGTTGTTCAAGGGAAAATGTGGGTTTGGGAATCAGGTCAGTAAAAGAGATCAACACTACTTGTTTTGTGGAGATTCAATGACTAACCGGACAGTCTGTGGCATAGTTTTCAAGGTGTCAAGGAGAAGCTAGGTGACAGGGGGGCGCCTTGTCGCCTAGTCGCCTAGGCGATGGATTTTTTTAAGTAAAAAATACATATCCTAGGGTAGTTCCCTAGGTTCCATAACCATCTTTCTTTAATAACTATGAACTTTATGTTTAAAGTCTAGAAAATCAACATTTTTATGAGAAGAAAAAAGAAAGAAAGAAAAGAAAATTCAAAAAAATATGGGGACTGAACCCCTATTTTTGTTATAGGAAAAGAAGAAAAGAAAAGGTGGAAGAAGAAGAAGTAGAAGATATGGAGGAAGAATTTGTTGATTAGACAAAACTTGAAGTTTTTCCCTTATTGGTTCAGATTCTGAAGTCTTTGAGGGTTCAATACAGCAGTTAGCAATGTTTGTGTTGATTAAACCCTAACAAACAAGAAAGTAATAAAAAGAAATTAGTTTATAAACACAAAAAGTGAATATTTTTGTTTAATAATCTCAAAAAAGTAACAATATATAAGTATTTTATAAGATAGTATACAAAACTGCTTGGTGACTGGACGAGGTAAGCCTCCAAGGGCACCTTGTTGCCTAGGCGCCCACCTAGGCGTCGCCTTGACAATTATGATCTGTGGAGGAGGTTAATTGTATCCAAGGCTCCGTTTGGAATCAATGTAAAACCTCATCGGTGTAAAAGTACATCGATGAGGTTTTACATTAAACCATAAAAAAGTGACCGTTACATTGAAAAGCGTGGAGTTTTACATTTATTTTATCAATGTATTATTTACATCGATAATCGATGTAAAATTTTACATCAATTTACGATGTAAAACTCCACTTCATCCAAATGCCAACAAAACTGAACTGGCATAAATATTTACATCGCTTCCATATGCAGCCCAAGTATGGTTCCAGCAGCAGGGAGTGGGAGAAGTAAGATCCTCTTATGGGTGTTCAATTTGGAAGGCAATCCAGAAAATTCATCCAAAGTTTATGAAGGGTATAAAGTATGAAGTTGGCAATGGTCAGAGAGTGCTTTTTTTGGAAGGATTACTGGTGTGGGGATGGACCATTAGGGGTCTTATTCCCCGACTTGTTCAAGATTGCTACAAACAAGGATGCAACAGTGGAAGATTACTTAGAGAGGCAAAATGGGCTTTGTATTTGGAACCCCCAATTCCAGAGGAACCTAAATGACTGGGAGGTTGCTTCTTTGGTCGTCTGCTCCAGGTTTTATGACTCAGGAGCATCTGGAGTAGGGGAAGAGAAAAGAAAGTGGTTATTTGAGAAATCAGGAACCTTCTCTGTAAAATCTTTTTACAACAACTTGTTGGGGAGGATATTTCTTCCTTTCCAAGTGACAGGATTTGGATAAGGTCTGTTCTGTCAAAACTGGCTTTTTTTTTGTTTGGTTTGCTGTGCTGGACAGGATCCTAACACCAAGGACAATTTAGTTAGAAGAGGTGTAGAGGTGGCGAATATGGCTTGCACACTATGCAATGGAAGTGTGGAATCTTCTAGCCATTTGTTACTACATTGTGATTCCACTTACTGGATTTGTTTGGGGTTAATGTGTGTTTCCCGGCTGATGTGAAGGGATTCATCGGAGCTTGGTATGCAAGTGGATTAAGCAGGATGGAAAATTAGCTTGGAACATCCTCCCTTCATCTGTCTTTTGAGCAGTGTGGTGCAAAAGAAACAGCAGAATATTTGAAGAGAGACAAAGTACAAAAGCAGAGGTGTTTAGAAGGATTTCGGGAATGGTGCATTCCTGGCTGGAAAATCACCCTCTATTCAAAAATAGACATTCATATTCTTTTTTGATCATGATTTCCTTTTTGTAAGGAGTTTATAGTCTTTTTGGTTTGGGGCTGATTCTGGGTATACTGGTTTCTTTCCTCTTGTATAGGTTCTTTTTGTACAGGGGTTTACATAGTTGCATGGTTTTAAGATAAATAATGAAATTACTTTACCTTACAGTTAAAAAAAAACAATGTTTACAGCTCTTTACTTCCAAAATACCATAACCATGTAATCAGCCATGGTTGAAGACAAAGCTTGGGCTTATCCTGAATTGAATCTCACACAAGTATTTACTAAGGCTTCAAGTGGAAACACACTAATTAAGGATAGATCCAAGCAACAAGGTCTCACAAATAAGTGAACAGGGAAATGGTTGTAAACTTGTGCTGTAGATCTAATAAACCTCATACTTGAAACTAAATTGAAATCTTAGATCTACTTCAATTATTCTGTTTAAACTAAAAAGGACATGGGCAGTAGTGAGCAATGATTTTGGTGCCAAACTGCCAATAATTTAACAATGAATATAGCATTAAACAGAATGGAATGGCAAAACAGGATTCATGCAGCTGACCCTATATAGTTGGGATAAGGCTTGGATGATGATGACTTTAGTGACTATTTAACTTAATTACTTCATAACTCTGTCGTGATTAGTCATCTTACCTATTTCCTTGTAATGACTTCATGGTTGTGAAGTTTGCAAATGTATTTGGATGATAGAATTCCTTTCAAGTTCTTTGAAGCAGTTGGAATTTCAGATGAATGGTATCTAATTGGACTTAATGCTGCCAGGTAACACTGAGGATTTGAGGTTGATAGTCCCGAAACTATCATATTATCATCAGGTCTGTGAACATATTCATACTCCTGGTATGCAGTTTTAAAGGCCAATATCTGAAGTGAAAATCTCTGGTATTTCTTTTATTCTTTATTTCTGTTGCAATTTCCATAGCAAGATAATTTGGTTATGAAATGAATTTCTTAGTTATGAACTGATGCTGTCAGGTGTTTTTTTTTTTAAAAAAAACAAGTGGTTTGTTTTTTATTCTATAGATTTTGATGCATATAAGATTTTCGTCTTTGTAGACATACGCCATAGAGTGAAGATGGTGAAGTTGACTATGATAGCTCGTGTTACTGATGGCCTTCCACTGGCTGAGGGACTAGATGATGACCGTGATATAAAAGATGCTGAATTTTATAAACAGCAGGCTAAGGCTGTATTCAAGAACTTGACAAAGGGCCACAATGAAGCTTCAAGAATGTCAATTGAAACTGGTCCTTATGTTTTTCAGTATCCTTTGCATGCTTCAAGAATGTCATCTCAATATTTCCATATCTAATATTTTCATGATGTCTCTTTGCATGTGATTGGAACTTATTTTCCTCATTGTTATTGTTACATTGTTGTCTAAGTATTAAATGGATTGAGCCATTTGGAGAAACATGATGTGTAATTTTGTAACAAGTGCAAATATTGTCTTCATTTGCATATTTTGTTACAATACATGACTATGAAATTGTTGCAACATGTTGTTGGTAGTTATCAAAGGCAAAACAGGAGTGGCAAGGCTCTGAAGTTCAGTGCCTAAACCTACTGAAGCTTATCTAGACTAATGTAAGTGCAGTTGGTGAAGCACATCTTTGCACCTATGCACCTCAATAAAGATATGGATATTTGTGCATTTGTTTTGTTGTTTCCTTATATATAGTAGCTACAATGGCTAGTGCTAATAAAGTTCCATTTAGTGTTCTGACTCCTATGACCTCTGTTGAACTGCAACCCAATCCCAAAACTGTGTTTTGAAATGACCAGTTCTCCAAAACATTGACTTGGTAAAAGCCTTCATAATAGCCATACTAATGGTCTTTTTATGATAAGTATACTAATTGGTGTTATGTTGTTTTAGGCCAGTCTTTACATAATACAGGTTTTAAAAAATGAGTAATGAGTTGGGTAAAAGACTTAAAACCTCCCTTGATATTTCTCCTAAATACTGAGACCTCTCCTCTCTTTTCAAAATGGACTAAGACCTCCCCTGTAAAATACATTAACTGTTATGTCTAACTGAGAAGGTAAAAAGTCTAACATACCTTTACCACTAACAACAGTACTAAGATCTTGAATATGGTTAAGGAAGGAAGGAAAAACCTCTTTTTTTTATGAATGAATATAATTTATTAAATCAGAAATATGAGGCAATACAGGAGACCCAAGAGGAAGGACAAACCTCTTGAATTGCTTTCTAGGGAGATGTTGATAATGCATTAGGGGCTGCTTTTGCATTCCAGCCACTGTCTGACCACCCATGTATACTTTCAAGTTTCAATCACCTTGTACCAAAGCCTTTTTCGTTCTAAGGGAAATCTCCAAAGCCATTCCTAGGAGAGTTATATTTTTGTGGACCAAGTTCCCTATCCTAAGCCCCCCTTTGTCCTTTTTTTTTCTATCAATAACAGAAACTTTTATTAATAAAGGAGAAGGAAGAAGATACAACAGGAGGGGGGGTAAAAACTCTTACCCCACCCTAAAAGTAAAACATTACATTACAACACAGCCCAAAAGAAACTAGCTCGTCCCACCCCTTGTTTAGCTAAAAAGTCTGCGAAAGAATTGGCACTCCTCTTGGACCATTGAAACATAATTTGCATGTCTTGAGTGAGCTGGTAAATTTTCTTTTTTTTTTGTTTCATTCAAGAATTTCCACAAACTAACATCTTTCTTTTGCAGCCAATTAATAGCCAATCTAGAGTCACCCTCCACCAGCAACTACCTAATATTCAGTTGTTTGGTTCTTTTTATCCCTTCTAATACTGCTGAAATTTCAGCTCTCAGAGAATCTCCCCAACCTATAGGCCCCGAAAACATAGCCAAAATTCGACCTTCTTCATCCCTGAATATTCCACCTATACCTGAAGGGCCTGGGTTTCCTTCGCTGCTGCCATCAAAGTTCAATTTAGTGAACCCCAAAGTTGGAGGAAACCAAGTTGGAACAGGGAAATTAATCAACCAACCGGACCAGTCTACTTCTTTCCAATTTCTAATGATATCTCCTGCTGAGAATCCTTCAAATAGCTTCGTAGACTTGACCCAGTGGATCACCCTAACATAGATTAAGTCAATGATGGCTTCTTTGTTCTTTTCTTTTTCATGGAAAGTACATTGATTCCTGTCCAGCATACAGCTGCTCTTGCACATCTCCACAAGATTTTACCTCTCTTTTTTAAACCCTCACTGAGGTAAAGATAAACAAGCTTTGCACACTTGGCGGCCCCCCCCTTTGTCCTTTGGTCTGCAAACCTGCTCCCATTTCAGCAAATGGCCTTTCTTTTCGTCTCCTGGTTCCCATAGGGAAGCGCCCCCCCCATCTTCTCCAACTTTCCTGCTATTTTGACTAGAATTTAAACAATGGACAAGTAATAAACAGGAAGGTTAGCCAATGTAGCTTTGATTAAAGTTAGAATACAATGATGAGTCCACAGATTATATGTATCAAGTTCATGCTAAAAATGCATCCAGCATTCCTTACCTGAAATGTACACAACATATTGTTTGAAATTTGAGAGGATTTTCATTAATTGTTTTCAAACTAATCCCATATGTTGATGTAGGTGGAAGTGATTCCCAATCAAATATAGCCTTTCCATACTTGGTTGTAAACTTGCAATCACTTCAATCCATAACTTGTTCTGCTCTTTGTTATATTGCCAATAATCACTTTCCCGGGATCACTGTGTCTATGGTTCTATGATGCCTCAAATCGTGCACATCCAAGAGCTTACCACAAGGTGGTAATTTTTCACTGTTAGGGCTTATCCCACAGGGTTGTTTATTTTTCTCTCTTGGCCAAGTTGATCAATCCCATTGGACATGATCACAAGCTTTTTCCATATCTAACTTATAGCTGATTCTTAGAACTCCTCTTTTACTTGGAGTCTATATATTTGTTTGCAATGAGGATCCATGCAGGATTTGTGTACCATTCATGATTCATGAAAGTTCCTTGAGAAGAGGATATGGTGGGGGCCAAGATCTCCTTGGGCACTTAGCAAGAACCTTGAGCAGCAGCTTGTAGATGGTTTTTACAAGTCTGATTAGTTTATAATCCTTAATATTTTTTCTATTTTTTTCCTTGATCAATAGCCATGCATTTGTATTGATCTCGAAGATTGATATAGAGAAGACAGTACAAAGAAACAGCATCAGCTGGCTTTACAGATTTTAGATCAATACCTAAACTTGATGACCACACAAAAGACTGCTCTTGTTAACCCCCATTCTTGCAAGTTCATCTGCTATTATATTTTCTGATCCAGGTATCCAATGATCCATCTGAATGAGCATTTCAGATTGGATACCAGGCCTTTAGCTTCTCTTGTTTTCTGCCTCAACAACCAAGGACCTTTTTCATTTTCCAGCCAAGTAATGACTACCTTGTAGTCACCTTCCACAATCAGATTGGCCCATCCCAAGGAATATAACCCCAGTTATAGTTCTTGGATGAGAGCTGGAATCTCCTCTCTTAAGGATTTCTTATGGGCCCATGAAGCTCATCTTAACGGTGCCATGATGGTCTCTAATTGTATCCCCTATACCTGACAGTGCCATGCTGCCAAGACATAGCTCCTTGCTTTGATTGGTTGTTCTAAAGGGGGTGTAGGCAGGGGTGATCATGGGCTGGGCCCATACCAGTCTTAGCACCTAGCCTGGCCTGCACCATAGTTGTCAAGGTGACGCCTAGGGGACAAGGTGCCCTTGGAGGCTCACCTCGCGTAATCACCAAGCAGTTTTGTACATTGTGTTATAAAATATTTTTATATTCTTATTTTTTTAAATTGTAATTATAAAATAGACATTAAACTAAAATATTCATTTTGTGTGATCATATACTAATTTCTTTTTATTATTTTCTTATTTGTTAGGGTTTAATCAACACATTATATTTTGTTATGAAAATTATGGATAGTTATTAAAGAAATATGGTTGTGGAACCTAGGAAACTACCCTAGGGTATATGTTTTTCACTTAAAAAAATCCATCGCGTAGGAATGGAAACCTCCAGATGGTAACAGGTTTAAACTGAATTTTGATGGAAGCTCATTTGGGAATTCGGGACTGTCAGGTATTGGGGGAGTAATCAGAAATTCTGAAAGGAGAATATTAGCTTTGTTCTCTGGACCGATTGGCATGGTCAACTCTCTAAAAGCTGAGCTAATGGCATTGTTACAAGGACTGAAGATAGCTAAGCAACTTGGAATGAGGCATATTGAGGTTGAAGGGGACTCCAAGGTGATCATTTCTTGGGCTAAAAACAATAGAAGTATTCCATGGACCTTCAAACAAGTGATAAGGGAAGTGGAAAAGGTTGCAAGGGAGGTAGAGGCTGAATTCAAATGGGTTAGAAGGAGTGCAAATGGGTTAGCTGATTATCTTGCTAAACAAGGGGCTTTAAGGCAACAATTGTTTTGGCCTGCAATGTAAAGTGGGACAGAAATTTGTAATAGTGTGGGAGATTTAATCCCATAAACAAAGATGTAAAACCTTATTTTAACCTAATTTCAAATAAAATTCTCTTCTTGCTGATAAAAAAAAAATCCATCACGTAGGTGACTAGACGACAAGGCACCCCCCTGTTGCCTAGCCACGCCTTGGCACCTTGAAAACTATGGCCTGCACCTTCAGCCTGACATATAAGTATATGTTGGGTTTATTATGGCCTACAAACATTAAGGGTGTGTTTGGTTCTTTGATTGATTCCAATTATGGCACCAAATGAACCAAACAACAATGTGGGAAGAACTAAAGGAAAACCTCAATCTGATGGGAAAATGAGAGTTTATAATAGGAAAAGAATGTATAGAGCATAACCATTGACAGAGTCTGTATTTGAAAGGATTCAAGATGGTGATATTTCCTCTGATGAGGAGAGAAATCTAAGTGAGGAGGATGAGAAAGAGGTTTGTTTAGATGAGACTCATCAGATTGACAAATCTATTGACATGACTAAGGTTGTAGACAAGGCTGTGGAAGTAAGTAAAGCTCTAGACTTGCTTGTCTCGGGAGGTGAGTCATTTACAAGGAAAATGTTCCAAGATTTGGAAGAACGCTATGTGATGCCTGAAAGGAGAATACTGGAGATTTTCAAGTGCCTATGCTGCCAATTGATGAAGGCCATAATAACTTAACCATAACTAGTTTGGAAGAGGATGGTAGTGAAAAAAGTGCAGCTTTAGTTGATGCCAATTATTTTAGAGAAACACAGTACTAGAATTGAAAAGGACTAAGAGAACCCCTCTTGCTTGTTGGATTCCCGGAAGTGTGTTTTAGCAAATAGAAGATTTGAAAGACAGAAAACATCAAGATCTTCTGGTCTCAAAGGTTTTTGGTAGACTTAAATGAGGCCTATTTGGGATTGAACCAAGCAAGATGATCTGGAAGACCAAGAAAACCTCTAGAAGTGGTTAGTGGTTTAGAGGCTACAATTTTGAGGGTGGAGCTGGTGTTGGTACTTGAGGAAGGCCATTGTTTCTAGTGAGTTTTGAAGTATTCTGTCTGTTGCTGTCTTTGAGGTTGAGTTTTTGCATTTTTGAGTCTTGCCTGATCTTTGGTTGTTGTAGCTTGTGTTGGTTTAGTGATATTTTGAGCTCTTGGGTTTTGTGATTTTGAGGCTTGGAAAGGTTGGTGGCTTGTTTGTGAGTGCAAGTTTGTTTTTCTTTTCTCTCTTGAGTGACTTCTGGTCACTCCCCTTCTGTACTCTCTTTTTTTGCTTTAATAAATTTTATTTTTATTACCAAAAAAATGAACCAGACAGCAATTATTGGAATTCAACTTCAATTTCCATCTGAACCAAACAAGCATTGGGAATAGATGATTCTGATTCTAATTTCGATCTTGATTGCAAACCAAACAGACTCTTAAGTATATTATATTTAATATGTAATATTTTGTATTATATGACACATACATACATACATACAAGCTGGATTGGGCTTGATAAACCCTAGTGAAGGTAGGGGAGTGTTTCTTTTGCTTTCATTTTGTCTCAGTGATATCTTATCACTATGTATCTCTCTCCTGGATTTCTTTTTAATGGTTTTTATTTTTATTTTTATTTTACTATAAAAATTAAAATACATTGTTTGGAACTTTGGATGATATCCATATACATGTAAGTTTAAAATATTGCATCAATATAACTAAGTAAAATTTGTTGAAAACAATATAAAAACATTAAAGCACTAGGGAATATATTGAGATATTCTTATATTAATATTTCAAAATGGGCATATTTCTACTTCTTAAACTCACAACAATGTTCCAACATCTCTTAAAAGAAGGCCATAGGGAATCCAGATGGTCTCAGTGCTTCAACTTCTTCCAGTACCTGCAAGACTCCATCGTCATTAAATAGGTAAGGGTGTCAATGGACCGGTTTTGGATTGGACCCCGTCCAGTCCAAAATCAATTTGGACGGATTGGATGGACCAACAAGACAATATTGGATTGGACCAATCCGGTCCAAATATTTATTAGATTGGATTGGACCTGGTCCATCCATAATTTATATTGGATTGGGTTGGATTAAACCAATATCTGGTCCATTGAAATAAGATAAGAATATAGGTATCAATGGACTGGCTTTGGATTGAAACCAATCTAAATCGAAATGAATTTGAACAGATTGGATGGTCCAAACATTGAATTGGACCAGTCCAAAATGGTCCAAAATATTCATTGGATTGGATTGGACCTGGTCCATTTATAATGGATTCACATTGGACTGGATTGGATTGGACCAAATCCAGTCTAATTGACACCCCTATAAATAGGGCCTCGAGACAATTGCATTCCAACCCTGAGTTGCAATCAAATTTGATACGATCTTGCCTAGGCTGGAGGTAAGATTGATTTAAGTGTAGATTTCTATATAAATCAACAATGACTGTTCTTACCTCATTTTCTTATGCAATGAGATGACCATTGATTTGTTGCTTTGCGATAGTGTTGGAATGTTGCTTAGCAGGATAGTGATGAAAGAAATTTGTGTTTTTATTCTAACCATAGGATCTTGGATTTCTGCCTCCAGGAAATTTCCTCCATGTGAGCTAAGCACCTATTTTCATCCTTTACCATTACTCTTGTTGCTCTACCAGCCTTCCTGATTGGGGCCTACCTCTCTCATGTGATCCATATCTTTTATTTTAGCTAACATCCTCCACTTTTTTTCTGCTATTGTTCCTCATTGATTTTTACTCCACCTTTTTAATTGTGCTATCCTTGTCATAAAAGATTATTTTTGCCATTGCCTGATGCAAGAACTTTGCACTAATAACCATGTTATTGAATTGATATATAAATCTATATCTGTTCTGACCTATTTTGCTCCAGTAGGCATCTCAAACTGTAATAAATACATACATTTTTACAAAAGTCTTGTATATACATGTATGATCATAGTTTCATGCATGCACCAATATCTGTTTAAGATGCCTTATTTTAATAAATGGATTTTCTTGAACTATATGGAGTGAATTTATGGTTGCATGGATAGCATGATAACCTGCCATTATTGGGCATAATATGCTTCCTTTCTGAGTCCATTCCATCTTCTGAATTTACCTTGACCGAAGTTGACAGCTATATCATTGAAGGCCGTGTATGTTATTTGACAATGTGTGATCGTGCTTATCCAAAAAAACTTGCTTTTCAATACCTAGAAGATCTAAAAAATGAATTTGAGAGAGTCAATGGGAATCAAATTGAAACTGCTGCTAGACCTTATGCCTTTATTAAATTTGGTATGGCTTCTATCAATTTTGTCACATGCTCTTTTCCCATCGAAGTTCCATTGGTGCCATATTAATCTCTAGATTTCTCTTTGTCTTCTATTTCTTTTTGAAAGATACATTCATACAGAAAACCAAGAAATTGTATTTGGATACCTGCACTCAGAGGAACCTGGCTAAGTTGAATGATGAACTTTATGAAGTCCACCAAATAATGACTCGCAATGTACAAGAAGTTCTTGGTGTTGGTGAAAAGTTGGATCGTGAGCTCCCTCTAATCTTCTTTCTTTGACTCGAATAGTTTGATTTAGTTCTTTTTTTTTGTGGAAAGTAATTTTGTATGAAAAAAGAGGTCTAAGTTTACAAGTCATTCTTATCATAGAACTTCATTCATGGATTCTGTGTCAGAGATGCATGGGAACAAATATTGAACAGTGGAGCTTCTGCATCTTGTCTTCATTTTTTGTCTGATATAAAAGTATTGTCAAAGCATCAATTAGTAAATCGACTAGTCAATCTAGGGTTCATACTGACTGCTTCACTAACTAGTTGGTCAATAGACTCAATCCTAATGATGTGGTCACTTGGGACGACCAAGCTTCAACTAGGTAACTAGGTCAACTAGTTGACTGATGTCTGGTCGATCTAGTCAAAAGTGAAGTTTATTTAAAAACTTATATTTGTTTGGGTTTATCTGTAATTATTTAAATAGTATTATATATGCTTTTATTTTGTACACTTATGTTAGTTGCTTGAAGCATTTATTATGGTATGTGGTTGGTTGGTGGTTTTTAAACAGAACTGAATGGTATGTATACATACATGTATGTATGTCTCCTTTACTAACATCATTATTCTTCGCTATAAACTTAGACTTGTTTCAAAAATGAAATAAAATATTTGGGTTCAGCTTTAACCCCTGTAAGACACTCCCCTTGACCCTTCTAAATCTGCTCCTTTTGACTGAACTAACATTAATCACTCGGTAGGGAAAACTCCTCAAATAATGAATTTCTTTTTTTCTGGTTAATAATTATGAGCCTCTAGATGTGGTCTGCTGGACATACTTGTCCTGTCATCTTCTTGGGTTCTGTAGCAGTTAAATTAGTTTTAAATTTGTAGTTAATTAAGACAAGAAGTTGATTTAATTTCAGTATCTAAGATGAAAGAAGTTGATTTATCTTTCAAAAAAATATTAATTATGATCAAATTGGCTTATTTTGTCATGTCATTGTATTTCCTTAAGCTGGTATTTTTTAGATTTGGTGTAAAAAAAATACAGTTGACCTTTATTTAGAGATTCATTTTGTTTCATGTATTTTACCCTGTGGCTTAAGTATTCATGTTATTTTAATTTCTGGTCAATTTTAAGACAGCTCAACACTAATTACTGTTGTGGTTTCAATTTTGTAGAGGTCAGTCAAATGTCTAGCAGGTTGACCTCAGAATCTCGTATATATGCTGATAAGGCTAGAGACTTAAATAGACAGGTCAGTTTCTCTGATGACGTATTTTTCATACTGCTAATGCCTATTCATTTTTGCCAGCTTTATTTGATGATAGATATGCTAGAGTGGTAAAAATCCTCACTTTAACTAGTCCTTTGTGTGAACTTTACCACACACTCCTTTTCTTTGTGTTGATGTGTTTCTAAATATTTGCCATTGAAAATGGAGTTGCTAGTTTGTTGGCCAAACAGTGTCCTCAAATGAACTCATGCATTATTATGAATTACCTTTTAATTTAAAAGGTTATTGCTATTTCATCATCCTTGTACTTGGTAACGATGGTGGCCATCATTTTATGGGTTAAGGAGTGGTAAAACTGATGCAATATTTGAACAAGTAATTCCATTCTAGCATATGGTTTTTTTAAATGCTGGAATACACTACATATGGAAGTGTCATGCTATGTCAAGAATTAAGCAAAGAATACATAATGTTGAGTATATGGCTGATGTTTCTGTCTATGCTTTCTTTGACCTTTTTCTCATTTTTTCCTGCCTTTTCTGATTTTAAGGCTACTCCCATCGTTACTTCCCTTTTTGGAATTTGATATACTGGGTATAATCCAGCTTTCAATTTTAAAAAGAAGGAAAGAAAAGAAAGAGAAAGAAGATAATGATGAGAACATGGGCCATGGCATACCCTTTCCATGTGTTTGCATTGAATGTTAAAAGCTGTTTCTTGCAATTTTCTTCAATTCACTTCTTTATGTGGTTGTCCACCACCAATTGCAGGCTTTGATTCGTAAGTGGGCCCCTGTAGCCATTGTGTTTGGAGCTGTCTTCTTCCTCTTTTGGGTCAGAAAGAAGATCTGGTGATTCAATCTTTCAAAGGCAGTTCCTGCACAGTTTTGTTGTGTCTATTGCATTCACATGTTACATGTATTATCAATGTTATCAAGAACTCCAGAATAGATCTTTTACCTATGGTGAACACTTCCATATCATCTTGTCATCTTGTGCTTTTTATCGATTGTCTGATAAGTAACAAATTCATGAGTTTGAGAATAACATTTTATGAGGAGAAACCGAGCTACAAAGAATACTGTGGATGTGGGCAATTCATTTGATTTTATATATAAAACAGGGAAGTGGACATTGTTTTAGAAGTATAAACATTCTGGTCTACTTTTACAAGGACCAATAGAGTCGGCTATCTAGTCAACCTCAATTATTAAATTCCATTATTGTATGGGTAGATCTCATTGTGAAAAAGACATTACTGATAATTCATGGTAGTTCCCTCAAATGAGAAGATAATTCATGGTTGAGCCAAAGAGTAAACTGTACAGATTATCAATAACATTGATTAAATGAGGGTTAATTGAAATATTGTTTCCCCAAAATGAACTGTACTTGTTAAGCAAAAGGTCCGTCTTTTCTTTAGTCTCTATTTGGGAAAAGAGCAAGTGCCAGTTCAGTGCATATATTCACTCTGGTTCAGTTTTGCTGTTTGGTAAGAATGCATTTATGTTTTGAAAGTGACGGTTTTTACAAATTCCAAGGCATCTTTACACTCAAAATGAGAGAAGTTTACATCAAAAAATGGATGTAAACTTTGCACTCAAAAGTTGATGAATGTTAAATGGTATGTTTCAAACTCTGGATTTGTCTTTGCATCCATTGCAATTAAAAATCGTTTGACAAGAAAGTAAACTTATCAATGCAAAGGTAAACCGACTTTGTATTTGCATGGACTAGAAGGCACTCTAATATTTGTATTTGTATTTCATTTGCACTCTTCCCAACTAATGCTGGTTCAATGCATATTTGCTCTGGTTTAGTTTTGCTAGTGTTTGGTGAAAGTGTATTTATGTCTTGACAATAACAACAAATATAGATTTCAAGACATTTTGCATAAGATGAGAACAAAGTTTGCATTCAAAGTTAATCACAACTAATCATTATTTTTGTTTGTACTTATCACCAATGCTCAAAGTATCGAAAACGCTGATACTGTGTATCGGAAAGGCAAATTTAAGAGACATCAGGAAATGCTATAAATACTCTAATAAATCATAAATAAACATTAATATCACTAAATATAAGACTTAAATGTGTTATTTATACATAAAAATCACATGTTTTAGTGGGTTTTATGAAAAAACATATTATAATGAACATACGGGAACAAAAACGTGTTATCTAATAAAGTATTTAATTCAGTTCCAACTTCAAATTTTAAATCTATTATAATTTATAAATTCAACATGTGAATCCCAATATGATGAATTTAGAAGTTAAAAGTTAGAATATACCTTGATCACTTTCATTATCTTTATGGCTTTATTAAACTAGTAAAAGGTGACAAAGTGCTCATGTTTAATCTTAACCTAAATAAAACATTATTAAAATTAGATAATTAGTAAATAGACAAAAATCATAAAAAATTGTCATTACTTGGCAATTTATAATCATACCTAGAATCAGAAGTGATGACTATCAATACCATAGGGAGTTATGTGTAGGTTGAAAGTTACTTGTATCAACATTAAACCGATCGTTGACATAAAAAATAATATTCATTCCAAACCATCTTAGTGGAATAAGAATTCACATATATTTGTCTAAAATACTCATATTGCTCCCAAGTGCATTGTTGATAATGAGTTTGAGGCTGATAACTTAATTCATAATCATGTGAATCATATTGTTGTGTACTTTGTGTTGTACGAAGATGAATTATTAGTTTGCCTATTATCATATCCTCCACCACCAAAAAGCCAAGAACCCATAACAGATAAAATAGATCTAAGAGCAAACTAAACAGTAGCCATGTGACCCATGCCATATCCATAATGTAGAAATGATTTCAAATTCATGCTACTAATGCCTTGCATCATGCCATATCCATAAGCTTGGCTCTACTCATTTTGTCCTCTATAACCATAATTGCCCATTAACTGTGAATCCTTACGACTAGGACGGTGTTGCTCTTCACTAAAGACATTATATCATATATTGGTAGTATATATTTAAGAAATTCACCACATTGATCACCTTGATTTTAGTCACCTCTAGAATCAGCACCTTAATTGTTTCTAGTGTTACCACTTCCATCACTAGCACTATCACCACCACCACCATCATCATCACTACTATCAACGGTTGTATGTTTTCTTTGTTTCTCTTGTTCTCTAACTCATTGATCAACATTTACCCTCATTTTACTAGCAATAAAGGCATCAGGTCTTGGTGGATCACCTAATTCATCTAATACCCTTGATGCATCTTCTTTCTTTGCCAACCACGACAATATTGGATCATCTTTGTCATATATGTCATCAAGATTAATTGGGTCAAAGTAACCTTCTCGATGCCTTCTATCTGTAGTAAAATGACTAACCCTTAGTCTCGTATTGTAATGCACATATACTATATTTATAAATATAAATATATATAGTACATATATATGTTATTTATTTATTTATAAAAATATTCTTTATATTATATTTTTATAAATTTACTATATTATTTATTTTTTATAAAAACATGTATATATATGATGAAAATAATTAAAAAATACTTGTATTTTTTTGTTTTTACATTAGTTAAATTAGAATATTTTATTTTTCTTTTAATAATTTATTATTTTTTAAAGAAAACAAGTCAAATAAGATAAGATCCAAAGATCTGACTTACCAATAGGATTCGAATTCAAATTGAGTCCTATTAAATTCGATCCGACATGAATAGTGTTGGATTGGATTTGAATATACCCTGATTCGAATATGGTTTAATTCGTTTGCATCCCTAAGGATCCATTTAGAGGTGTAAATTGGGTCGAGAGTTCGAGGCTCATAGATCGGCACGGCCATGCCACCCGCGGCCCGCGTGCCGGCACGGCCTAGCCCACAGGGCTCGTAGCGTGTTGTGCTCGGCCCACCTAAAATATAGTCGTTGCCCCTCCCCCCACCCACTCAAAAGGGTCCAATGACTAGTTTCAGCTTTTTGGGTTTTTTTTTATAGAAATACCCCCCAACAGCTTTTTCGGGGGGTTTAATTTTATCTAATTTATTTGATATATTTTTTAATTATTTAACAATGTAATTTTGTAATTTCAATTTGTAACCATATCGTATTTTTTATATTTTATTAATTTATTCCATTTTCATATTTCATTCATCCAAGTATGCAATGATCCAATCATTGTATTTGTAATTTGTACCATTCAAATTTAAATGAAATAAAATTCCTATTTGTTATTCCATCATTCTTATTCCAATTTGGTTAAGTATTTTTTTTCACTCATGTGTTAGATAACTTAGATTTTTCATTTCTTAATTTTTTAAATAATTCCCAATTCCCAAAGTTGAAAGGAAAGTTAAATATTTTAGTTTTACAATTTTACTTAAAAAAGAAATCAAAATTTTCAAAAAAACAAAAAAGTAAAAAAACAATGCAACCCGATTCAGCCTAGGCCGGCCTTGTGGCCTAACCCGATACGGCCCAAGCCCACAGCACGGCCTGCAGCCCGACCCAGCCCAGGCCCACAGCACTGGCCCGCCCCTGTATCGTAAGCGTAAGGGTTGTATATAATTTCATTAAAAAAAAAGTTGAGTGAGAAGAGAGCTTTATTTATTTATTTATTTTATTAAAAAAACATAGATGAAGCGGTGCAGTAATTGTAGCTGAGAAATTCTCCAGCCTCCATGGCTCCATCTTTATTTCTTGTGAAAATTCATTGAAAGGAGAATCCAATATCCCATCTGTATAGATTGAATTCAGTTACACAATGACCTGCAAAACCGTCGGCCCTTTTGCTTAGTGTTGGTTGATCCCCCTTTTCAGGTCTCTTTTTTTCATTTCACATTTAGGCATAGGGATGCAAACGAATCAGATCAAAGTCGTAAGGGTATATGTGATTCGACCCGTTAAGAAAATTAGACTGATCATAAGCATCGGATTTAAAAAATATGATTCGTATTCAAATTCGAATATATTGTTGGATATCCGATTGGATAAAATTATATTTATAAAATAATAGATTATATTATTAATATAATATAATAATATATTAAACTACAAGAAAAACGGTATAACCACTGGCATAGGCCTTTAGACCGCCGCCTTAGATCTAAGGTGGCGGTCAAGCATCTGCCCCCGTATTAGCTGCCGCCCTAGATTAGGACCGCCAGCTTAAATGTAAAAGACCGCCTTAGATGGCCGGTCAAAGACGGTTTAAATTGTTATACAGCGAGCCGCCAGCTTAGCATTAACTAGGCAGGGGTTTTGACTGCTGCCTTAAGATTTCTGTCAAACTCCCTCGTGTTCTTAGGTGGAGGTTTGAACCGCCGGCTTAGGTGTTGTTTGTGGCTAAACCGACAGTTGCATGACTGCTGGCTTAGATCTTTTTTCTCATTTTTTATTTATATTAGGTTAATTCTAACATTTTTTGGTCATATTGATAGCTAAGAAAATGGACAAGACCGCTAACATATACTTATTTTTTTTAAAAAAATCATATACCCGCTTAATTGCAGCATTTTTGTGGTACCTGAATTGTTTATTGATTTAGCATTTTCATACCTGTTTAATACAGCAAAACCATTTGATAAAAATCAATTTAAAATGAAATCTATTAATTCAAAGATTATATATTAAAATATCCAAAAGACATTGTTCAAATACAACATCCAATTGACATATTAATAGTATAAGAACTTCAAAAAATAATCAAATTCTCTAATAATGTAGCACATCTTCTGCAAATCCACTTAACATGTTGGTTGAACTTGCAAATCAAAACATGCAAGTATTAGAATTATATTCAAGTATTTTAACCATAAAGATAGGAATAGTAACTAAAATTTACATGGGTTGAATTCTAAGCAATTAATTGGAATATCAATAGTAGTTCAAAATATTCTATAGCATCCATAAGGGCTTACTGGCAATGCATCACTTATAATTGGAATTCAAACACTAATCACAAACTAAAAAGTAAATTTTAAATATTCTACATGCTTGGTCAAGAACAGAGAATCCATGGAGATGAATCATAGCTACCACATATTGATAAGTTAAGAAGGTCCGCTAGGGTGCCTAGGAGGAATCTGAGGTTCGTGGAGTGATGAACTGGACATGCTCCTACTTCTGTCTTTACTTCGGTTAGAATGGGTCAATAACTGGTTGGAGAATATCTCGGCCAAATTAGTTAGTTGTTAGTGT